GAAGAGGAGGAGAATGAAGAGGAGGAGGAATTGGGGTGGGGGGAAGTTTGAGGGGCTTGGATCTGAAGGTCCTGGAGGAGGAGGGTGAAAAAGAGGAGGATGAAGAAGAGGAGGAGGAGGATGGTGAGGAGAGGTTGGAAGGGACAGGGGGATGAGGGTCTTGGAGGATGAGGGTGAGGAAGAAGAGGGTGAAGAAGAGGAGGGTGAAGAAAAGGGAGATGAAGAAGAGGAGGATGAAGAAGATGAAGAAGAGGAAGAGGAGGAATTTGGGTTGGAGATCTTTGAGGGGTTCAGATCTGAAGGTCCTGGAGGAAGAGGAGGATGAAGAGGATGAAGAAGAGGAGGAATCAGGGTTAGAGAGGTCTCAGGGGTCCAGATCTGAAGGTCTTGGGGGAGGAGGAAGATGAAGGGGATGAAGAAGAGGAAAAGGAGGAGTTTGGGTTGGAGGGGTCCATGGTCTGAAGGGGTTGGAGGAGGAAGAGGAGGATGATGAAGAGGAGGGGGAGTTGGGGTTGGAGAGGTTGGAAGGAACCATGACCTGAAGGTTTTGGGGGAGGAGGAGGAGGAAGAAGAGGAGGAGGAGGAGGAGGTGGACGTAGACAATGGAGAGAGGTTGGAGTGGGATGAAGAAGAGGAGGATGATGATGAAGAGCAGGAGGAACTGGGGTTGGGGTTGGAAGGGTTGGAGAGGTCCGTGGTCTGAAGGGCTTGGAGGAGGAAGAAGAGGACGATGAGGAGGAAGAGGACGATGAGGAGGAAGAGGACGATGAGGAGGAAGTGGAAGCGGTGAAAGGTGGAGACGATGGGGAGAGGCTGGAGGGGGATGAAGGGGGGGAGGAAGAGGAAGAGGAAGATGAAGGTGGAGACAGCGAGGTGAGGTTGGATTGGTCAGCGCCGAGGCCGGGATGAAGGTCTGGGAGGAAGAGGAGGAAGAGGAGGATGAAGGACGGTGGAGAAGATGGGGAAGAAGGTGAAGAGGAGCAGGGGGAGGATGAAGGACGTCAACAAGAGATGAAGGCCTTGGAAGAGGAGGAGGAGGAGGAGGAGGAAGGTGGAGATGAAGATGGTGGGAGGTTGGGGAGGGTCCATGTGGGGATGGCCTGGGAGGAGGAGGAGGAAGAGGAGGGTGAAGATGAGGGCGGGTGGAGGAGAGGGGGGAACGTTGGATGGGTCAAGGGCCAGGAGGGGGAGGAGGAGGAGGAGGAAGGTCAGGGTCTCCTCCCTGGGGGGGCCTTGGGGG